TGGAATTGTGTTGCGAAGACATCTTGCATTCACTAACCATGTTGGGATTGTGTGGCGAAGACATCTTGCATTCACTAACCATGTTGGGATTGTGTGGCGAAGACATCTTGCATTCACTTGCCATGTTGGGATTGTGTGGCGAAGACATCTTTCATTCACTAACCATGTTGGGATTGTGTGGCGAAGACATCTTGCATTCACTAACCATGTTGGGATTGTGTGGCGAAGACATCTTGCACTAGCTTACGAATGTTGGCCTTGTATCTTTTCAAAATCTTGTTCAGTTGATCGTGAGCACCTAACTTTGTTTAAAAGTGTTTGTGTGTGAGGAGGAGGGGGGGTAACAACCGGCGAGGACAGTCAGGCGATTTTTCATAATAAGCTCCAAAAAACGTACTTTTTACTGCTTGACCTTTGCTGTAATATTATATTCACAAACTTATAATCAATGTGTGTGTGGTGGGGGGGGAGTGCTGCTGTCAGACCCTATTGCATCAAATTTTACGAACTAATCCCTAGACGTTTACAGAGATAAGGCCAGGGCTCTGCATGGACTATAACGTTAGAGCACGATTAGAAAAGATGATTGATTATTGCACATACTGATTATTTTATGTTAACTCTCTTAAATTCATAAGTTTGACATTCTTCTTGAACACCTTGTGGACAAAACGATTGTTTCAACTTAAGTCTTCACCAAGTTCTTTTAACAAATACTCCACAATGGTTTATTATTATTATCTACTTGTGAACCACATTTCAAGCATTATTTCAATATTTGTTTGGAAATTAACCTTGTGTACCTTCTATTCCAATGTAACTGTCCTTGCAAGGCGAATCATAACTGATTCACTTATGTTCATCTACTACGTTATTTGGTAAAGAAAATGTGGGCGACAGGTATATACGGGAAGTTGAAATGCGCTGTATTTATAAAAGCTGATCGTATGATGAGCCAACGGCATCCTAAGATCATCCCAGTCCCATACCAGTCAACAACACTAGAACACTAAAACCGATTATTTGACGTTCTACGCATGCTTGTATGGAGGTTATGCAATTGCTCGAGGCAACGTGAATTCACGCCCTGGGGGATTTTACAAGGAACTCCGAATCACAGGCAGCAACATGGGAAATCCAATACAGTCAAGGCGGAACTAGTCCTATTTGACAGAACTGACTTTGGCTTGATAGTCGCGGGCATGTGAGCTTAAGCTACTAGATGATTTACGTTCTCCTGAGACGTTGATCGAACACGTGAATTTCAAGTACCTAAAGATTTTGGGTCGTCATGAACATAAATAGCAAGCATGCAAAGTGATAGACGGCATTACGGTTTCATTGCGATCATAAACACACATTGGCAAAACTGTATTTCAGTGGTTCACCGCTAACTCTTAGTGACCTTCGTTCCAGTCTGAACCAATAATCTTAACCCTAAGAAACTGTGGCTCACGTACCTCGACTCACAGGAGACCTAACGCGACTAGATCAACTTCATCGGGTATCGGGTAACCACTGGCTGCAGTACATGCATGAAGCGTCAAAACAGTGGGTAGTCCGCTACTTTTCCACCGATCCGACCCAACTAACATGTGTTTTTTGCTTTCTAGAACTTTCCAGTCTGTATTCTAGACGCTGAATTAATCATGGTAAGAATATATGTGGCTTTTTTTCTGGTCTATCTTTACTAAACTGTATAACAAAATGAACCAAAAATATCATAAGTTATTTTTCAGTGTTCGGTTAATGAGATCGTAAATCTACAAAACTGCATTATATTTGATGCATTATATTATATTTGTTTCTAGCGTTGTAAGTTCGCAAAAATACCGTTGCGCCACTAGAAGATGGGCTCACCAACGGAACTAGATATTTTCATCCCTAACAGTCGATAGAAATTCACTTTCCGGCTACTTAACCCTTACCTTAATAACATGTCTTCATACCATTCACTGTCGGTTAGGTGTACATACTGCATCACAATCAATGTATTTCCTTTATGTTTTTACCTGTGTGAAGAGTTGGATAAAACAAACATTTGGTAAGTAGTTAGTAGGCTTAATTATAACATTGATATCATATTTGCTTATACATTTTGTTTAGCTTATATGTTTTATATATACCCTGTAAGCAACAAAGTTAGGGACTCTCAAGTTATTTAGTGCATAAAAAAGTTAAAAAAATGTGTTTAAAACAGCCAATGGGACCTTGTATTCTGTTATTAATTTTTGGAAATCTCATACCACCATATTACAAAAAATAGATCAATATTTTATGATATCAGAAATTAAAGTTTACACTACTCGTTGTTTCTTGAAGATTTAAATATCAAGTATATGATAATACAAATGCATACAGATAAAATTTCATATAATTCAAATGCTTATTACTTGAGATGTAACTCTGTAGTATTAGATTAATCCAATATTTTACAAGACGTCTATCAATTCACAATGATTCTGGCGAGAACACTTATAGCTTATATTGCGCTGTCCAGTGGTTAGCCATAACAGATTATGAAGCTGGGGTTCCTTGGTCCGCACTCTGTATTTTTGAGACGTAAGTGCGTTATAAGAGAATTGGTCAAATCCCACTATTCCGTCTGACAATAACAGCCTAACAGTGAGCGGTAAACGGTGTAGACTATCTACTGTCCCTTTAGTCTATCACTTATTATTGTGCATACAGACCAGAAATACACGATATGTGTTATCTTTATATTAAATATGCTTTGTCTAGTGTAGTAGATAATAAAACTGTATTTGATCATTATGACATCTTATAGATTTATTTTGAAATGGCAAATGCCTTAGCATAAAAGTAGGATGTGTATAGTTGTGTAAAGCGTAATTATGCTTAGTACTGTATGATAATGAATAAATCATATTAAACTTTTCGAGTGAAGATTAGACAGTACGTCATTCTAAAAATATCCGCTTTATTCGGATGAACGTAATATTAATATAAAGAACTATTTAGAAGTATTTGTATTTTCATCATTATAATGAACTTTAATGTATAGGGTTGTGTACATCATATTAAATATTCCTTTTGTATGCTGGTGTGTACGTTATACTCACTGTTTTGGTGTATGTTGGTGTGTACGTTATACTAATTATTTTGGTGTATGTTGGTGTGTACGTTATACTAACTATTTTGGTGTGTACGTTATACTAATTATTTTGGTGTATGTTGGTGTGTACGTTATACTATTTTGGTGTATGTTGGTGTGTACGTTATACTAACTATTTTGGTGTATGTTGGTGTGTACGTTATACTAACTATTTTGGTGTACGTTGGTGTGTACGTTATACTAACTATTTTGGTGTACGTTGGTGTGTACGTTATACTAACTATTTTGGTATACGTTGGTATGTATGTTATACTAAATATTTTGGTTTATGGTAATGTTTGCACCATAAGATCAAATTCCTGGTATGTGGTGCCAAACCCAACAATATATATATCCCGGTGTAGTGTTGTGTTCGTCATGTTCATATCCCGGTGTAGTGTTGTGTTCGTCATGTTCATTTCCCGGTGTAGTGTTGTGTTCGTCATGTTCATTTCCCGGTGTAGTGTTGTGTTCGTCATGTTCATTTCCCGGTGTAGTGTTGTGTTCGTCATGTTCATTTCCCAGTGTAGTGTTGTGTTTGTCGTGTTAAATTTCCCAGTGTAGTGTTGTGTTCGTCGTGTTAAATTTCCCAGTGTAGTGTTGTGTTCGTCGTGTTAAATTTCCCAGTGTAGTGTTGTGTTTGTCGTGTTAAATTTCCCAGTGTAGTGTTGTGTTCGTCGTGTTAAATTTCCCAGTGTAGTGTTGCGCCCCTAATATTAAAAGCTACAAACTGTTATTCATATATATAGTGCTGTGTTGATCATACTAAATATTCTTGTTGTACAGTTTTGTACACAGTTTTGTAAAAGTTATTGTTGTGTGATATTATGCACCCAATTGTTAATATTTCTACTGCATGGTCTTTTGTATCTGTTTATGTTATTTATGATATAGTGCTTGTGTACATCTCAATAATTGTTTGTGTATCTTGTTGTATTTATCGTGTAAGTTATTCCCTGTGAATAGTGTTTTATAATTACGGTAATATCACCTTAAAGATTCCTGAATGGAGTACACTTTCTTCAGTATCCCTTCTGTATGGCTGTGCATGCTAGATATTAATGTATTATTTTTTCCCAGGTAAGGGACCTAACTAGAAGTAAGATACACACATATTTCTAAGTTTCACTTGTCACAAATCTGGCGAAACGTACCCTTGCTCATGAAAGCAAGAGTTACGAAATTCATGTATTTGTACCCAAAATATTTATAAACATTTTGATCCTAACCAGTTCAGTACGGATATTCAACAAAAGAAAATAATGAGTGTGTGATAATATAGGATGTCCGTGTAGAATATTTTCCACATGCCGTACTTGTAATTCGAAACAAGTTTAGATTAACAGCAGGATTAAACTCGACCTTCGTATACTTTGACAGCCTAATAACCAGTCACGTACCTGAAATTATGAAAAGCTGCAATTCACTTGTGGTTCCAAACACCCTGTATTTGCTTCTTTGCATGTTCAGGCACTGTCTTCCAAAGGCCTTCGAGCTTTTCTTCCAGTTATGTCTCCAAATCTGCTACATTATAACACATGTTTGCTGATAGGCTACTTCAGATGTATTAGTGAAAAGGTATGTGTTAAACGACGCTGAATATTGTCATGTGTTATTCTGTGAAGTGTAGCAAGTTTGTTAAAATAAAACCTTCAAATTCGAACCAGTCAAGTAACGTGTAATTTCAGAACACCCCGGATGCTAACATCCAAATACCTGTTAAGTATTTAATAATAATGTTATAGCTTCTATCATTTTATCACAATTAATGTAATATTTCATTATATTGGGTACTCTAACCGATTTAAGTTTATTTAACTGGAAAATTTAACTCGACTTGCAAATCGCATCAACGGTACTTTTCTAATAATACTGGTGTTTATGAAGTTCATGAGTGACGTGAAAACCATGCTTTCACTATACATTCTCTTCAAATAAAACATTATCATGCAAAATGACCTGAACAATTCTGTATAAGGGAGTATGATTGAAGTATAATGAAGATTTGATTCATGCGTCATTGACAATCGATGCGGAAACTGAGTGTCTTAGTTGTTTAACAAAAGCTCAATAAGATATTATAAGGATAGCCGCTGAAGGACCCGTGTCTAGCGGGAATACATTTTCTGAAAATTCGGACGATTATCTTAGCGGAAGGGAAAAGGTCTGTCTCCGCCTGCCAGCTGCGCCTGTATTTACTTGATACACCTGATCTCTTTCACTAGGGTGCGTTTTTTAACCTGATTTTCTTCGAAGTAAAAAAATAAAAAAGGAGAGTCAGAAATGTTTAATGGGAATTAGGAGTAACTTTGGAGCTGCGAGGTGCTTTAATTACAGATAAATAAGAGACAAGTAGATAGATAGATTAGACTTCCGAGCGTGATATGCATGCTCTTTAAGGGTATAAACGTTTGGTAAATAGTACGAAACTTCCCTCGGTACACTTCTGTCGAAACAGTTAGTCCTTTAACTTCAACTACCGTCGTAGAATATTTCATATCCGTGAAAACAACCGCTCTTCATAACAAGTAGTCGACTTCATAAGTGAATTTATTGAAAATCTTTGAATACTTTGAAGTTTTTTTTTGTTTGTTTACTTGAGCAATACAGCACGTGTTACAATGTTAATAATTACACGGATAGATGTGTTGAAAAGTCACGAAATGTTTTGCATCTATTCAATTTATCGTTTTGTAAAGGGAAGACCTCAAGTGAAGTAAAATGAACTTCCACAATTTTACACATTTAAAGAAACATTTCAGCGCTTATTGTATGAAAAAGAAGATATGAGCCTTTTGAAATCATAAAATCTCCAGTTCCGAAAGAAAATAAAAACTCTAAATAGAAGATGAAATGTATCGTAAAAAAATTATACTGAATTTAGAATTAAAAAACGCACACATATATACACACACACATCTACGTCTGAAGAATCCGAAATATAGGCTTAAAAAGAAAAAGTAAAAAAAAAGCAAAAGAAAATCATGTACAATTACTTGCAAGTAGTAGTTTACAGTGTGATCAAATAAACGTTTCACAAATAATTGAAAATTTTACTTGAACAGCACCTTATGCGCACGAGGGATAAGCGACCTAGTCCTAAGGTTCAGTCAGGTTTAGCTATTTTAAATTTTATGCTACTGACCAAAGGAAAGTCAGCCAGCCAGCAGGACCCGTGTCTGGCTCTTTCAATCGAATATCGGGAGTAGCTGTCCTTTTTATAATTACCCCACAGTTGAAAGTGCGAAGCATGTTTATCGCCATAACGTCTCGAACATTGGACTATTCGATTCCCAGCTCAGCATACTAGTCCACAATCTGGCCAAAGTCTAAATGAACGATAAGAAAGATAATTCTGTTGTTATGACAAAAAAAAGAAAAAAGACTTCTTGGTGACAGTTGAATAATAGCATGAGCGTAAGCAAATGATATGTGCTGACGTGTCCTTTCGTCCAATACCAAGATTCGTGATAAGATAGACAAAAACAGCGTTACTTATTTCGTTTTAACAATGTTTATTTATTAATAATCATTATT